GACGTACAGCACAGGACGCCCCCGGAAGGCCGCCGGCACCGCCACAGCCGCGCCACCTCCGGGCCCCTCCACCTCAGCACCCATGCCCTCCGCCGCACTGCCACCGACGCCCGCCGCCTCTTGTCCAATCGTCTGCTGCCGCGGCCGCCTGGCTGACAGCGGCGCATCCTCCCCCATTGCGTCCGCCCCCCCCTCGGCCCCAGAGGCGGCCCCAGAGCCGCTGCTGCTCGCCCCTGCGTCGTCGTCGGCCCCGCCCTCCTGGCATGCGCGCGCCACCATGGCCGCGACCTGCAGCAGCAGCGTTGACTTGCCCACCCCGGGGTCACCCCCCAGCAGCACCAGGCTGCCGGGCACCACGCCGCCCCCCAGGACACGCGCCACCTCAGCGCCTGTCGCCCCGGGAAGCGCCAGGCGCGCCGACGAATCGTCGCGGCTGATGGTCCCGATCAGCTCGGGCGCGCCCGCGCCGCCGCCAGACACCCACGCGCCGGCGCCCGCGCGGCGCGCCGGCAGCGCGGCGCCCGAGCCGCCGCCGCCGCCCCTGCCAGTACCCTGCCGCGGCAGCCTGTTGGTGCCTCTGCTGCCGCCGCCGCCGCCGCCGTCTGCGCGGGCGCTGCCCGGGAAGAGGTCCCCCGCATCGGGGTCATACGCGCCCTCCGCCTCGGCCTCCAGCGCAGCGTAGTCCGGCAGGTCGTCCTCGCCACCAACAAGAACTCCGCTGCCACCAGCCGCGCCCGCCGCGCGCGCCGCCGCCGCCGCCGCCTGCACGGCCGCGGCGGCGACGGCCGCCTGGGCGGCGTCGGACGGCGCCGGCGCCGTGGGGGGTGCGGGCGCGACCCCCTGGATGAGGCGGCGCGCAGCAGACATGCCCTCACCGCCGCCGCGCGCCTCTGGTAGCGTGACTACTGCCTCCAGCGTGCCCCGGCCCCTGCAGCCCTGGCACTGGCCAAACCACTGTACGTGCATGCGCCCGCACTCGTTGCACTGCCAGCGCTGCTTGGGGGCCGACGGTTTTGAGGACGCCCTGGCAGCATGCAACGGCGCAGCGAGCCCTGGGCGGCCGGCGCGGGTGTGTATTAGCAGAGCGGGGTGCGGCGACACGATCGGCGGCGCACCTCGGTACCGGACGCACAGCACAGCCTGTGTCACGGTCCCGAAACCGCGGCCCAACGCCGCCGCTGCCGCGCTTGCCATCGAGCGACGCGCAAATATGAATGACCACACTTTGATGACTGAAAGCGACTGATATGCGGCCAGGCCGGCCATACGCGACCTATCTATACGGTAATTATCTGATCTGCAGACGCGCTTTTGCGGCTGCAAGCGCATCATGTTACTAACATGAGCTACTTGGCACGTATTAGTGTCGTGCAGACAGGCATACCTGGATCTCTGAGTGTCACCAGCACGGTCACCAGCCCGAGCCAACAAGCCAACCCACTGCTGATTGAGGTGTCTGCCCTGCTGGAGCCACAGGCCCCACCGCCGCCTGCCCCTGCATGTTATTGTACAAGCAAAATGCGACTTACACTGCGACAAATGCTACCAGGCAGACACTTGACAGCACCAACAGCTCCGACGACACTGCGATACAGGTAGGACTGCACTGGACAGCGCCAAGACACTGAACAGCGCCACTCAACTCGCTTGCCGCACGCCAATATGCAGGCAGGATGCAGGACGCAGGAGGCATCCCGACATCAGGAGGAGGAGGAGGAGGGGGTGGGAATGCCCTCAAACAACGCAGGATCTGTGCGCGCGCGCACACATGTTATTGGTGCTCACGGTGTTCCGGTACTTGGTGATCTCGCCAGTTTGCTGCGCGCTGCTCACCAAGTCAAACTCTGCTCTTTGACCGGTATCAAATGAGGAGGATACCGGTCCACAATCAATCATGCAATGGGGTAAGCTGCCTCGACCGCATCGGCACTCGGCAGAAAAAATCGCAGCGGCGGCAGGCGCGCTTGCGCCAGGCCGCCGCCCTCGCCCTCGCCCTCACCCTTGCCCTCGCCCTCGCCCTCGGGCGCCGCGTCGACGGCCACCCAGCAGGGGCTGACCTGCCCTGCCGCCGCCTCTATGGCATGGGCCGTGCCGCTGCCCGCGGCCGCCGCCGCCTCGGCCTCCAGCGCCTCCCACTCGCCCTCCTCCATGAACAGATCGTCAGCCCACGCACCACCACCCCCAGGCGCCGCCAACGGAGCAGCCACGTCCGCCGCAGCGGCCGCAGCCGCAGCCGGGCCCGCGCCGCCGCCGCCGGACGTCATTGCCGCTGGAGGCCTCGCCACTGGCACCGTCATCATGGGGCGCGGCCAGCCGGGCACCTGGGAGCTGCCCCCCTCCGGCCCCGCACCCGATGGCATCTCTGCGGGCGCACCGCCGGCGCCGCCCTCGTCCGCGCCGCCCCCGGCGCTGTCCCCCTCCAGGCTCCTGAGGGTGTCCCGGGGGTCGCCCCGCCACCACGCCAGCACGAGTGTCGTGCGGCACGGGTCCGGCGGCAGCCGGGGCCGCGCCGCCACACCGCCCGGGGCCGCAGCCGTTGCGGCGCCGACGGGCGTCGCTGCAGCAGCGCCAGGCGCCGCGGCTGGGGCCGCGGCGCCGCCGCTTGGCGCTGGCGCTGCTCCCTGCTGCTGGCCGCCCCCTGCGGCGGGCGTGCCTCCACCGTTGGAGCCCTCCCCCTCCTGCTCCATCGAGTAGTCCCCCGACTCCCCCTCGTCTTCGTCGCCCTCCACCTCACCCTCCCTGCCCCGCTGCTCCCCTGCAGCCCCGCGCCCGCCGCCCGCCTCATCGCCGCCGATCATGCCGCCGTACACCCCCTGCCCCTCCCCCTCCCCGCCATCGTCCTCCTCCTCCTCCTGCTGCAGCGCCCCCGGCAGCACCCCGTGCAGCAGGCTGCCCTCCCACGCCTGCGGCCAGCAGGCAGAGAGGGTGGGCGGGAAGGAGGGGGGCCAGGCTAAGACTGGAAAGGTTGAAATATAGAGGTATATATGTCATCTGCTTGGGAGAGCCCTCATACGGCTGTGTGTATCAACAGCAGCCCACAACCAAAGTGTGAAGCTGGGGAGGAATGAGCTGTGTGCGTGGGTGATTGAGCCGCGGCACCCAGGCGCCCAGCCCGGAGCGGTGATCCCCCCCTCCCGCCGCGAGCCCAGGCCGCGCACCGCCCAGCGCCCGGCCGAGGGCTGCAGCAGCCACGCCCTGGTCGCCAGGTGGCGCAGGGCCGCCGCGTCCAGGGGCCGCCCCACGGTCGCAGCCGCCCCTGCGCCGCCGCCGGCAGCTGCTGCGCCGTCCTCTGACAGGACGCGCTGGCGCTTCAGCGAGCGCCCTGCCTCCCCCTCCTCCTCCCCCTCCTCGGCCCCTGCCACTTCCCCCTTCTCCTGTGTCGCTGCGCCGGTGATGGGCGCGTGGGCGGGCGGCTCCTGTGCGTCTCTGTCGCAGGACCCGGCTGGCGTCTGGTTGAGCACGATGGTGGGGCCCCCCACGCCGGTGATGAAGAGGAGGGAGGAGCAGGAGGGGTGGACCAGGTGGTAGGCCGCGGGGCCGCGGCGCAGGAA